CCCGATTTGCCCCCCAATTCCCGATTTCCCCAATTCCCGATTCCCCCCAAATTCCCGGTTTCCCCCAAATTCCCAATTTTCCCCCAAATTCCCAATTTTCCCCCATTCCCGGTTTCCCGTTTTTCCCTGCTGCAGCCCCTGGGATGAGGCTCCTGCTGCTGCTGCTGCTGCTGCTGCCCCCGGCAACCGGTGAGACCCCAAAAACACCCGGGGGGACCCCAAAAACACCCGGGGGACCCCAAAAACCTCATTAGAGACCCCAAAAACCTCATTAGAGACCCCAAAACCCACCGGGGGACCCCAAAATCCACCGGGGGACCCCAAAAACACCGGGGGACCCCAAAACCCACCGGGGGACCCCAAAAACACCCGGGGGACCCCAAAAACACCCGGGGGACCCCAAAACCGCACTGGGGGACCCCAGAATCCACCGGGGGACCCCAAAAACCTCAGCTGGGATCCCAAAACACCTGGGGACCCCAAACACTGCACCAGGGGCACCCCAAAATCCACCGGTGAGACCCCAAACACTGCACCCCAAAAACACCTGGGGGACCCCAAAAACACCTGAGATCCCAAAAACTGCACCCCAAAAACACCTGGGGACCCCAAAAACACCTGGGGACCCCAAAAACACCTGGGGACCCCAAAAACCTCACCTGAGACCCCAAAAACTGCACCGGGGACCCCAAAAACCGCATGTGGGACTACAGACAAACCTGGGGACCCCAAAATTCACCTGGGGGGCCCCAAAAACTGCACTGGGGACACCAAAATTTACCTGGGGACCCAGAAAACTCACCTGGGACCCCCAAAACCTCGTTAGAGACCCCAAAACCTGCACCTGGGGTACCCCAAACACACCTGGGACCCCAAAAACATCTGGGGACACCAAGAACATCCAGGGGACCCAAAAACCACACCTGGGACCCCAAAAACCTCACTGGGGACACCAAAAGTCACCTGAGACCCCAAAAACCCCACCGGGAACCCCAAAATCCACCTGAGAGACCCCAAAAACTGCACCTGGGGAACCCCAAAATCACCTGGGACCCCAAAAAAGACCTGGGGACACCAAAAATTCATCGGAGACCCCCAAAATGTCACCTGAGACCCCAAAAACTGCGCCTGGGGGAACCCCAAAATCACCTGAGATCCCAAAACCAGCACCAGGGACCCCAAAAACCTCACCTGGGACCCCAAAAACTGCCCTGGAGACCCCAGAACACACCTGAGACCCTGAAAACACCTGAGAGAGCCCCAAAACCTCATCAGGGACCCCAAAAATCTCACCTGGGGAACCCAAAATCACCTGGGAACCCCAAAAACCTCACCTGGGGAACCCAAAATCACCTGGGACCCCAAAAACTGCCCTGGAGACCCCAGAACACACCTGAGACCCTGAGAACACCTGAGAGAGCCCCAAAAATCTCACCTGGGACCCCAAAAATCTCACCTGGAGAACCCAAAACACCTGGGGGACCCCAAAAACCTCACCTGGGGAACCCAAAACACCTGGGGGACCCCAAAAACCTCACCTGGGGAACCCAAAATCACCTGGGACCCCAAAATACACCTGGGGAACCCAAAATCCAACCCCAAAAACACCTGGGGACCCCAAAAACACCTGGGGACCCCAAAAACCTCACCTGAGACCCCAAAAACTGCACCGGGGACCCCAAAAACCGCATGTGGGACTACAGACAAACCTGGGGACCCCAAAATTCACCTGGGGGGCCCCAAAAACTGCACTGGGGACACCAAAATTTACCTGGGGACCCAGAAAACTCACCTGGGACCCCCAAAACCTCGTTAGAGACCCCAAAACCTGCACCTGGGGTACCCCAAACACACCTGGGACCCCAAAAACATCTGGGGACACCAAGAACATCCAGGGGACCCAAAAACCACACCTGGGACCCCAAAAACCTCACTGGGGACACCAAAAGTCACCTGAGACCCCAAAAACCCCACCGGGAACCCCAAAATCCACCTGAGAGACCCCAAAAACTGCACCTGGGGAACCCCAAAATCACCTGGGACCCCAAAAAAGACCTGGGGACACCAAAAATTCATCGGAGACCCCCAAAATGTCACCTGAGACCCCAAAAACTGCGCCTGGGGGAACCCCAAAATCACCTGAGATCCCAAAACCAGCACCAGGGACCCCAAAAACCTCACCTGGGACCCCAAAAACTGCCCTGGAGACCCCAGAACACACCTGAGACCCTGAGAACACCTGAGAGAGCCCCAAAAATCTCACCTGGGACCCCAAAAATCTCACCTGGAGAACCCAAAACACCTGGGGGACCCCAAAAACCTCACCTGGGGAACCCAAAACACCTGGGGGACCCCAAAAACCTCACCTGGGGAACCCAAAATCACCTGGGACCCCAAAATACACCTGGGGAACCCAAAATCCACCTGGGATCCCAAAATCACCTGGGGGACCCCAAAATCCACCTGGGACCCCCAAAAACCTCACCTGGGATCCCAAAACCAGCCAGGGGACCCTCAAAGCCTCACCTGGGGGGACCCCAAAATCACCTGGGCACCCCAAAATCCACCTGAGACACCAAAATGCTCACCTGAGGGACCCCAAAAACAGCTGGGGGACCCCAAAATCCACCTGGGACCCCAAAAATTTACCTGGGGACACCAGAATCACCTGAGGGACCCCAAAACTCACCTGGGGGACCCCAAAACCCACCTGAGATCCTAAAAACATCCGGGGGGATCCCAAAACTCACCTGGGCACCCCAAAACCCTCACCTGGGAACCCCAAAATCCACGTGAGATCCCAAAAATCACCTGGAGGGGCCCCAAACTCACCTGGGCACCCCAAATTCACCTGGGGGACACCAAAAACGTCACCTGGGACCCCAAAACTCACCTGAGGGATCCCAAAAATCACCTGGGCACCCCAAAACTCACCTGGGCACCCTAAAATCCACCTGAGGGACCCCAAAATCCACCTGGGGGACTCCAGACTCACCTGAGGGACCCCAAAACTCACCTGGGGAGCCCAAACCTCACCTGTGCCCCGCCCTGGCCCCACCCGGACTCACCTGAGTGACCCAAAACTCACCTGGGCATCCCCAAACTCACCTGAGGGACCCCAAAATCCACCTGGGCACCCCAAAATCCACCTGAGGGATCTCAAAGCTCACCTGGGGACACCAAATATCACCTGGGGAGCCCAAAATCACCTGAGGGACCTCACCTGAAACGTCAAACCTCACCTGAGGGACCCCAGACTCACCTGTGTGACCCCAGACACACCTGTGTGACTCACCTGTGTGACTCACCTGTCCCCAGGTGCGCGGGTGCCCAGGTGGGTGCTGGAGGGGCACACCTGTGCCCCGCCCTGGCACACCTGTGTGTCTCACCTGAGTGTCTCACCTGTCTCACCTGTCCCCAGGTGCGCGGGCGCGCAGGTGGGTGCTGGAGGGACACACCTGTGCCCCGCCCTGGCAGGCCGCGCTGTTCCGGGGGCGCCGCTTCGTCTGCGGGGGGACCCTGGTGGCGCCCAGGTGGGTCCTGACGGCCGCACACTGCCACGCCCCCGGGTACGGACAGGTAACGGGCTCACCTGGGCACACCTGGGCACACCTGGGCACACCTGGGCACACCTGGGCACACCTGGGATACACCTGGGCATGGGGAACTCACCTGGGCACACCTGGGCACACCTGGGATACACCTGAGGACACCTGGGCATGGGGAACTCACCTGGGCACACGTGGGATACACCTGGGCACACCTGGGGGCACCTGGGATACACCTGGGCACGGGAAACACACCTGGGCACACCTGGGCATGGGGGGGTTACCTGGGCACACCTGGGCACACCTGGGTGGGTCCCGACAGCCGCGCACTGCCACGCCCCCGGGTACGGACAGGTAACGGGCTCACCTGGGCACACCTGGGCATGGGGAACACACCTGGGCACACCTGGGCGCACCTGGGATACACCTGGGCACACCTGGGGGCACCTGGGCATGGGGAACACACCTGGGCACACCTGGGGGCACCTGGGCTCACCTGGGCACACCTGGGGGCACCTGGGCATGGGGAACACACCTGGGCACACCTGGGTGGGTCCTGACCATCCCGCACTGCCACGCCCCCGGGCATGGCCAGGTAAAGGGGGACACCTGGGCAGGGGGGAGGGGCACAGCTGGGCTCACCTGTGTCTTGTCTCCCACCTGTCCCCACTCACCTGTCCCAGGTGTGTCTGAACTATCTCACCTGTCCCACCTGTCTCACCTGTCTCACCTGTCCCACCTGTCTCACCTGGCTCTCATTTGTCCCACCTATATCTCACCTGTCCCAGGTGTCTCTCACCTGTCCCTCACCGCCTGAGCACACCTGGGCATGGGGGGTTTACCTGGGCACACCTGGGCACACCTGGGATACACCTGAGGACACCTGGGCATGGGGAACTCACCTGAGCACACCTGGGCACACCTGGGCATGGGGAACTCACCTGGGCACACCTGGGTGGGTCCTGACCATCCCGCACTGCCACGCCCCCGGGCATGGCCAGGTAAAGGGGGACACCTGGGCAGGGGGGAGGGGCACAGCTGGGCTCACCTGTGTCTTGTCTCCCACCTGTCCCCACTCACCTGTCCCAGGTGTGTCCCTCACCTGTCTCACCTGTGTCTCACCTGTGTCTCACCTGTCCCATCCCTCACCTGTCTCACCTGTCCCACCTGTCTCACCTGGCTCTCATTTGTCCCACCTATATCTCACCTGTCCCAGGTGTCTCTCACCTGTCCCTCACCGTCCCTATCTCTCCCCTGTCCCAGGTGTCTCACCTGTCTCTCACCTGTCTATATCTCACCTGTCTCTCACCTGTCCATCCCTCACCTGTCCCTCACCTGTCTCACCTGTCCCTATCTCTCACCTGTCCCTCACCTGTCCCTCACCTGTCCCACCTGTCTCCCCTGTCCCACCTGTCTCACCTGTCCCTCACCTGTCCCTCACCTGTCCCTCACCTGTCCCTCACTCTCCTGTCTCACCTGTCCCTCACCTGCCTCACCTGTCCATATCTCACCTGTCCCTATCTCTCACCTGTCTCACCTGTCCCTCACCTGCCTCACCTGTCCATATCTCACCTGTCCCTATCTCTCACCTGTCTCACCTGTCCCTCACCTGTCTCACCTGTCCCTATCTCTCACCTGTCCGTCCCTCACCTGTCCCTCACCTGCCGTGTCTCTCCCCCGCAGCCCCATCACCGTCCGCCTGGGCCGCCCCGCCCACCCGCAGGTGCGCCCAGGTGAGGCGGCGCCCAGCCCGGCGCCGGGGGCGGGGCCGGGCGAGGCCGCACCTGCGCCAGGTGAGCAGCGGCGGCTGTCGGTGCGCACCTTCCGCTTCCCCGGCTACAACGAGAGCTCCAAGGACGGCGACCTGATGCTGCTGCGGCTGCAGGTGCCCGCGCACCTGAGCCGCCAGGTGAGCCCGCTGCCGCCGGCGCGCACCTGCGCCGCACCTGGAACGGCCTGCCAGATCTCCGGCTGGGGCTCCACCACCAGCCCCGAAGGTGAGACACACCTGGGCAGGTGAGGGGTGAGACACACCTGGGATAGGTGAGACACACACCTGGGCAGGTGAGACACACCTGGGATAGGTGAGACACACCTGGGGAGACACACCTGGGCAGGTGAGGGGACACACCTGGGATAGGGGAGGGGACACACCTGGGCAGGTGAGGGGTGAGACACACCTGGGACAGGTGAGGGGACACACCTGGGGAGACACACCTGGGATAGGTGAGACACACCTGGGACAGGTGAGACACACCTGGGCAGGTGAGACACACCTGGGACAGGTGGGATGGTTACCTGGGACAGGTGAGAGCTCAGATCAGGCATCAACTGCTCAGGTGTGACCCCAGGTGTGACCCCAGGTCTGACCCCAGGTGTGCCCAGGTGTGACCCCAGGTGTGACCCCAGGTCTGACCCCAGGTGTGCCCAGGTGTGACCCCAGGTGTGACCCAGGTGTGACCCCAGGTGACCCCAGGTGACCCCAGACAGGTGTTCCCTGACCCCAGGTGTGCCCAGGTGTGACCCCAGGTGTGACCCCAGGTGTGACCCCAGGTGTGTTTGCAGTGACGTTCCCGCAGGCCCTGCACTGCAGCCAGGTGTGACCCCAGACAGGTGTGACCCTGCCCAGGTGTTCCCTGACCCCAGGTGCCCCCAGGTGACCCCAGGTGACCCCAGGTGTGTTTGCAGTGACGTTCCCGCAGGCCCTGCACTGCAGCCAGGTGCGGATCGTACCTGAGCTCACCTGCCGCCGCATCTACCCCGACTCCATCACCCCCAACATGGTGTGCGCCGGGGAGCCGCGCAGCCGCGCCGACACCTGCCAGGTGAGGCTACAGGTGTGCAACAGGTGTGCAACAGGTGTGTGTGTGTGTGTGCCACAGAGCCGCGCAGCCGCGCCGACACCTGCCAGGTGAGACACGGACAGGTGAGACAGGTGTGTAACAGGTGTGTGTGCGCCGGGGAGCCGCGCAGCCGCGCCGACACCTGCCAGGTGAGGCTACAGGTGTGAGACAGGTGAGACAGGTGTGTGTGTGTGTGTGCCACAGAGCCGCGCAGCCGCGCCGACACCTGCCAGGTGAGTGTGAGACGGGTGTGTGACAGGTGTGTAACAGGAGTGTGTGTGTGTCACAGAGCCGCGCAGCCGCGCCGACACCTGCCAGGTGAGACACGGACAGGTGAGACAGGTGTGAGACAGGTGTGTGTGTGTGCCACAGGTGTGTGACAGGTGTGTGTGTGTGTCACAGAGCCGCGCAGCCGCGCCGACACCTGCCAGGTGAGTGTGAGACGTGTGAGACAGGTGTGCGACAAGTGAGACAGTTGTGCCACAGGTGTGGGACAGGTGAGACAGGTGAAATGGATGGGACAGGTGAGGTGATTTGGGCAATTTTAGGTCTATTTGGGGCCATTTTGGGGCAATTTGGGGCCGTTTTGGGGGAATTGTGGCGGTTTCGGGGCAATTTGGAGTTCATTTGGGCCATCTTGGGCAATTTGGGGCCAATTTGGGTCCATTTTGAGCAATTTGGGGCCATTTTGGTCAATTTTGGGGCAATTTTGGGGTCATTTGGGGTCATTGTGGGGTAACCTATGGCGATTTGGGGCCATTTTGGTCAATTTTGGGGCCATTTTGGGTCAATTTGAGGGGAATTTGGGGTCATTTTCCATTCATTTGGGAAATTTTTGGGTTAAACTTGGGGAGTTTTGGTTCTTTGGGGTCATTTTTGGGTCATTTGGGAGCATTTTGGGCCAATTTGGGCCCATTTGGGGCAATTTATGACATTTTGGGCCAATTTTCGGGCAACTTGGGGCTGGTTTGGGTAACTTGGGGCCGCTTTGGGGCAATTTGGGTCAATTTTGGTCAATTTGGGTCCATTTTGGTCAATTTGGGTCCATTTTGATCAATTTGGGGGCAATTTTGGGCCATTTTGGGGTCATTTGGGTCAATTTGGA